GGCATTTGCAAGTTTTACCCGAGGACCGAAGTCCAATCAGGCCAAACGGCACAGTGGCAGAAGAAGGTTGACAAAAGGCCAGGGACTACATCATGTGGTCCCTAGCACAAAGACCAAGGGAAGGGGTACTATGTCGCCATGCTGGAGGTAGGAGCCAATAGACCAGATGGGTCTATGGATCGCGGTCCATGGACCTGGTAGGCCCAAAGACGGCCAACTTGTGGCCATGCTGGCCTGTGGACGGCAGAGGCCATTGAATCGATTTCTGTGGTCCTGTGGCGACCAAGGACCCACGGTCAAAGGCCCCTAGGATTTCCCCGCATTTTGATCACGCACGACGCTTGGTCTTTCTCTCTCGTTCTCGTTCGCTATCGGCATCCTGTGACACAGACGCCACCATCTCTTCGTCGACGTTCAGCTCCCCGCCAAACACCATGAAGACGGTGTTGGTCCATCTTCGATGGCCGCGTCAAAGTTTCTGACTTGTCCCTTGCCGCCGCACATCCGCCACGCGGAGAAGCCTCGGGGTTGCTTTGAGTGCGGAACCACCCACTCTTCCCTTCTGTAGAGATGCCCGCGATGGTTTTGCATGGCCCAACTCGCCTGCGACTATATGGAGAACAGAACACAAGAGGCGCATGGTCAAATGATCTGAGGCGCGTTATGGAATTTGGCTTTGAATGGGACCGGGCTTGGAACTCTCGGAGAAGAGTAGTGGAGAATCGTGAGGTGCAAATATAGCTCGCACTTCAGGAGTAGCACGGATTTCCAAAACTGCCTGAGTCCCGCAATGAGTCCGTTCTTGAGACGCGAGCCGATTGTTACGTGCGGTCCTTTTTGGAAAAGTGGCCCTGGGGACACCGCTCTCCCTGGGGACACTACTCTCCCTGGGGACACTACTCCCTGGGGATACTGCTCTCCCTGGGGACACCGCTCTCCCTGGGGACGCTACTCTCCCTGGGGACACCGCTCTCCCTGGGGACGCCGCTCTCCCTGGGGACACTACTCTCCCTAGGGACGCTACTCTCCCTGGGGACGCTACTCTCCCTGGGGACACCGCTCTCCCTGGGGACACTACTCTCCCTGGGGACGCTACTCTCCCTGGGGACACCGCTCTCCCTGGGGGCATGATTTCCCTAAGACAGGCGATATACGGCGTCTGCGGCCAACCCCCTGCAGCTGCCACCAGCCGTGGATGGTCCTCTGAGGCGGCTGTGCCTACCGGGTATAAATATGCGTGGTTTCCCCCTCAAGCCCTTCCGTCCCTCCCTCCTCATTATTATCTCGACTCATCCTACACCACCGCGAGACACCAACCACCGAGAGGCCCTTGCGTACTCGAGGACGACCGAGCGAACATAAAAAGTCCGACCGACAGCGGTGCTCCACCATCTTTCAATCATGGGGGTGGCATGCATCAGAAAGGCGGAGCTTCACCCAATCATGTATGCCAGTCAAAAGGTGCGCCTGGCTTCGCCTCTGTCCCCACGACGGGCTTCATCACACTGTCATCATCAGTTCAGATTCGGAGATGGATGAACATCAGCCTGGATGTGGAACAGCATCCCCAGAAGAAAGACATGTGGACTGAGTACCAGGGTGGGGTCGTTCACTACCGTCCCTAGGTTCACTACCGTCCCTAGGCCACTGCCTTCCCTGGGGCCACTGCTCTCCCTAGGGCCACTGCCTTCCCTAGGGCTACTGCCTTCCCTGGGGCCACTGCTTTCCCTAGGGCCAGATGACAGGTCTACAGCCAACCCCCTGCTGCTGCCACAGGATGCATGGTCTTGTGATCGAGAGGCGGCTGTGCTTTCACAACGGGTTCTCCTTCTTCCTTATTATCTCGCTCGAATTTGCTTCTTGCCTACTCTCTCTCGTCCTGACAGAATGACTAGAACCCGCAGACAAGCCAGGGCCGTTGAAAAGGCCAATGCTCTTAACCTGCGGTCCAGAAAAGTCAACCGCGCACACGCATCCCATCATTCCCCTATAGCTCGCTCTCGCCGCCATCATCTTATGCCCACAAGACCACAAACTCACGGAGAGGGTGACAGCCGTATCTCACCCAATCTGG